GTCCCTTTTTCCTACGCCAGGGCTCTAGGTGAAAATCTTTGACCGTTCCTTCGGTCTCGATGGCAGCGGCGCATTGCGTTGTCACCCTCTTGGGGGCGTCGTCGTGGAGCTCTGGTTCTCTCCAATCGTGGCATGTCATCATCGGTGGGCAAGCTCAGATCCCGGCTTGAAGTTCCTTCGCCTCTGGTGTGGGATGGTCTCGCCGCATCCTACTTTTTACACGTGACTTCGTTGGCACCGTTCTCGGTCCTTGGTGTCTGCTGGCCGGATCGGCGCTCCACGGCCCAGAGTGAGAGGGCAGGGGGCTCTCTCCAGTGATAGCTTGGTGTGTGCGTTGCAACAGATGTCTAGTGGTTTCTTGTGGAGGTGTGTGGTTCCTCGTCTAGTCAGTAGTCTGGAGTGCTTCTTGTTGGGGTGTGGCTACTCCTGTTTGTATGTTTATCTTTGATGATCTACTTTGTATAAGGATGACAATGAGTAGGGTATGGGGCGGATAAAGCAATACCATATCCATAGTCATGCAGTCAATGGGTACAAAATTCTACCCATACTCGTACCCACGGGTATGAAACTTTACCCTACCCATACCCATTGGGTACCCAACGGGTAGATCAAATAGTACACAAGTTATTCACAATTTTACATTCGTCGATAACACATTTGACAAAAAAATATTTATCTCAACTCAACCATAAATAGATGAGTACATGACAATTATCTCAATTCAAATTGACAATTAATGGCAACTTTAACATAGATAGAGTTGGGAAGGGCCAGAGGAGGAGGATCTAGAGGCAGGAGTCGGAGGCTGGTGGCGATGTCGCCGTTTACATGCTTTTCGGAGGCAGCTGCAGGGGCGATGGGTTTGGGAACGATGCGCTCAATGAGTATGGCATGCTTAATGGGGAGGGGTGGCTCTTGGTATTTTGTTCTCCTTAATTTGGGGAGACGAGGGGATTACATGTGTTGGTGTCAAGCTTAATTATGGGGGTAATGGGGTCGCCCAGTTCCTTTGACGCTACCGACCCTTGCGCATATGTTGGAGTTCCACGGGTAAGGTCCACATGTCACTATAAACGGGCAAGGTATGGGTATATCCACGGGTACAAGGCTATACTCATGCTTTACCCATGACTTAACGTGCAGGATACTACCCATGGGTATAAAATCATGGCCACACCCAACCCATGCATATACCCGTACCCATGGACAAATTACTATCATTAGCTTTGTAAGAGGGTTTCCTCATCACTTTGTATCGGTTTGGTCGTATTGCTTTATATATAAAGCGGGGCAAAATCCTTTTCGGATTCTTCTTTTCTATGTCAAAGAGTGCCTTCATCGCCTCCTCTTTCTTTTGGCACTTTCTTTGTTCTCTCTTCTCACTTGACTCTTCATTTTGGGTCATGAACCCCTTCAAAATTTCTAACAAGGCGAGTGTCGAAGCATCACGCTTTGCATCCACCTTGGACTAGGGGTCTTCCCCTTAGCCTTTTCTCACTTTCACTTGGGTCGACGACCGGTGAGGCTCTCACACCATTTTTTTGGCCGCATAGTGCTCCTTAAACTTTGGGGAGTCGTAGATTTTTCTTCAACAATGACCCAAGGTGATTGGCCTGTCCCCATGCTAAACCTTAAAGATATCAAAATTTTTAAACCCCTACATATAGAGATGAAACCAACAAAATACATGCATTGGACGATATATGCTCGTGTGAACAAGAGAAGGAAATGTTATACCATGACTTTGGCGCCAATGTCACTCCCGGGCCGGCCGGCGACATTCTCATGGGAGCCACAAAATTTGTTGCACTCTAATCGGATAAAGCTTCACCTTTTGAATTGACACGTCAGTCCGGTCATTCCCAAAGGAAACAGAAACAGAACAAGGAAATTACTGGACACACTCTACTAATGCGTGATAGTTTGTTTTACATTACAATGACATTTGCTCATGACATTTTTACCGGCATACCAGTAGGCCAGCATTATGCATTATCAACATGCAGTCGGATCGATCATGATTTACACAGAGCCCTGCTTCAGATCATGATTTACACGCATACTCCGTATAATATAGTAGTGATCCGCGACATGGTACTAAGTACAGTACATGATAGGGATTCTTCCAGTTCAGGTAGGTATTATCCCCATCACCATGTAGACGCCATGGGTGGTGGATCGATCATGGGCACTTGGGCCTCGTGCGCGCGCCGTGTCCGGTGGTCTTGTCGCGGTAGCAAGGGCACTCGTCCTTGTTGCCGGCGGTCCCCGACGGCACGCAGTTGCACTCGGCGCAGCATATCCCGCAGTACTTGAGGCAGTCGTCGTGCCGGCTCGCCTTGGAGCACCTCACCCCGCACTTGCCGTCGCAGAACGCTGATCAAAAGCACACCCACCGCCAAAGTTAGCATAGATGGCAGCGAACACGTACAGCGAACGAACAAAAGATTACTGACAGACAGGCGCATGAGCAGAAGCAAATGAAAGTGAAATGGTTGTGACTTGAACTGACCTGACCCAGCCATGGCGACACGGAGGGACGTGGCTGCTAGGAGGACGAGGAGGAGAAGGAGAGCCAGAGTGGTGGTGGCGGTGGTGGTGCGAAGCTTCTTCATCGTGGTGTTCTTGAGTTGCTTGGCTCACGCAGAGCCCTGCTGGTTGGTGTGAGCTTGAGACTAGGGGGCTGCAGGAGTGAGTTGGCACCAGTGTCTTGTGCCTGTGGGGTTATTTATAGGGCCCAAAAGCTTGTGGTACCACTCAGAATTCAGTGAGCTTGCACCTAGGAGACGGTTGGCGACTCATTTATTCTTCTTTTCGCTCAAAGGCAGAAAAACCCCATTGTGTTCTCGTCCGGGTATTTAACCAAAAACTACCACATTTCGTAAAACCGTGTCCAGAAATTAACACTTTATAAATTTATGTCAAAAACTACCACTTTTTTACTAACCCGTGACAAAAAACTACCACTTTCAAAAAATGACCAGTTTAGAAGATTTAAACACGTTCATGACAAGTGGGGCCCACCTGTCAGGGATGATGTGGCAGGAAAGTCAACTCCGTTATTCCAGTTCGTTAGGTTGACCGCTTTGACAAGTGGGGCCCACACATCATTCTTCTTCCTCCTTCTCCTCCCTCTCTCTGGCATTTTAACAAACACCTCATGTTCCATTCTGCGCGCTTGTTCCACCCTGCCTCGGACCCCATGGGCTCGAAGTAGGCGAGGTCCATCTCGTCGTCGGCGGTGGCCGTGGCGAGCCACTCGTCGAGCGTGACCGCCGCCCTCGCGTCCACCGTGCGCACGCCGACGTCGTTGCATTTGACACCCTGAGCCACAGGAACCCGATGCTGGAGCTGGGCCGCCGCTTGGCGCGGCACGGCCTCTGCCCCATGTTCGTCTCCACCCGCCACGTGCTCTCCTCCACCCAACCCCTCGGCACGCCCTTCCGTGTCGCCGCCATCTCCGACGGATTCGACGCCGGTGGCTTCGCCTCGTGCTCGGACCCAGCCGAGTACTTCTCCCGGCTGGAGGCCCCAGGGTCCGAGACGCTGCGCGACCTCTGCTATCTGAGGAGACAGCCGCGGTGCACGTGCTGGTGTACGACTCGCACCTGCCATGGGCGGGGAGGGTGACGCGGGCCGCCGGCATGCCCGCCGCGGCGTTCTTCTCGTAGCCGTGCGCGGTAAACGTCGTCTACAGGAAGGTGCGGGCGGGGCGGCTAGCGCTGCCGGTGACGGATGGACGTGAGCTGCAGGCGCGCGGAGCGCTGGGGCCGGAGGACGTGCTGCCGCCCCCGGTCCAACGCATAGCCGCGGCCCTACTGTTACGTATGGCCACGAGAAGCAGCGGTGGCGGCAGCGACACACGAGCATGCGGCGGCGGCGGCGCACGGGCACGTGGTGGCTGATTGCCTCTAGGTGGGCGACATGGACGACAATAGTGCTCGCCGTGGGGCACGAAGACAAGGTTTTCGTTGAAATTGGCAAGAGAGATATAGGAGAAGGAAGATGAAGAAGATAGATGCTAATGTGTGGGGCCCACCTGTCATAACGGCCAACTTAACAGTCAAGATAAACGGTGTTGACTTTCCTCCCACATCAGCTCTGATGGGTGGCCCCACTTATCATAAACGTGTTTAAATCTTCTAAAGTGATAATTTTTGGCACAAATTTGTAAAATGGTAGTTTGGTTCCATAAAATGTGATAGTTTTTGGTTAAATACTCTGCTGGTCCCTTTATCTATGGCCTATGCGGCGTATTGGTGATGTGCTGATCAGTTGACGGGCTGTGAGCTAGCTGTAACCCAAAACGCAGACCTTTTTCTCATAAACGGTCATCAGTTCATCATAATTAGATCGAGCAGTGAACTGCTCCAGCGAGATTTACTTTGCTTAACTGCTAACAAACACGTAAAGGGGAGAGATGAACAACTCCATCTATCGTAGCAGCTAGCTAGTCTACGTGCTTTGCCCACAGCAAACGTTGTCCGGCTCGTCACTCCGGCTCGTCACCACGCGGCACGCATGCCCGGCAGGCTAGTACGCCCGAGCACGCTAGCCGCACCGCTGTCTCCCGCTTCGGCGCCTTCCGTTGTACTGGACCGGAGGCGCCGCCCAGTGTGCCCTGCCTGCCGTCACAGGCCGGCCGGTAAACAACCACCAGTCCACCACGCGGATAGACAGGCAGGTAGGTAGATGCACACCGGCACCGCGAAGTACGGACATGATGAAGGGAAGATGATGGCGCCGGCGCGTACAAGTAAAAGGAAGTTTACCGAAAGGAGCATGCCATCCTGGCAAGGCAAGTAGCCAGGTACAGTAGTCAGCTAGCCTCGACCACTTATTTGTCACCTGTTGGCTAGTGACAATCTTACAGAATGGACGGTCGGTGTCGAGCGATTTCAGAGCGGGTTTTTCTTGCAAGGATGATGGTGTTTTATTCCAGTATTATAGATCTACGGTCAAGAGGTAGAATTCCATAGTACATGGGGCCATCTATGTAGCCACACAGCTGTGCTACGGTCTGTATGGTTGTATCTCGCCAAACAATCTGCTACTCTATTCTGACTACGACGAAGCTTTAGTGGAATGAACACTCGGTTCTCTCTCAGGGACCTGATCTCTAATGCTAGATGACCATACGGAGACGAAACAAGTGATTCATCCCTGAATATCGATAGGCCACAGATGAATCTGACTACACGATAACTGGAAGCTCAGTGTTTTACATGGCCAAGGCCATGACATGCATCAAAGCATTTATCTCTGCTTCCAGTGCGTCATTACAATGAAACACATTTCTCTGCTGCTGTTCAGGTCATTTGGATACTTAAAACCTCTTGATGGTTTCATAAACGAAATCACACTAGTGAGGGACGGTTCTAGCAAATGGTTAAAAACCTTTCGTCGACACATTTTTGAATCGTCACCTTAATGTCCATTCATCATACACGCTTTTTGTGTTGAAAATGTCTGTGTCCTGGCAGCTTATCGCACATGCTTGTGGGCAAACGATCATGTGCTGCGTGGCATTCATCACAAACGAGGTGATGACGGCAGCGTATGGGATACTTCATGCATCACACACATTATTAAGACGGAATCGTGTGTGATGGTTCATCGACCCCACACCTCATCTCTTAGCAACCGTGTGTATTGTAAGTGGTCATCACCCATTATTCAATTGAAGCTGGCAGTGGAGATGTAAGAAACAAGGAAACAATGCATTCTTGATGAGATTTCCAAGCAAAAGCAGATTAATGGAGCTGATCAGCTGTGATGACTTCAAATTGTTAGGCACTGGAGCTGTGATAAATATCAGAAAATGGGCCTTTGACTCTCAAGCAGTTGGCAAACTTCACACAGCTTGGGTTACTTTTGAGAAAGTGCCAGAATGCTTTAGACATTTCTTTGGCATGTGTGAGGTAGCTGAATCTTTAGGGCCAGTATTGGAGATTGACATGGACACAATAACTCATGAGAAAATCAGGGCAAAAGTGGGAATAAGAGATTTTGAGAAGATCCCAGAGTATACTGAAATCACCGACAAAGATTTAAACATTTACGGAGTCATGCCTAAACTAGAGAAAGTGGTGGAGATGGGTTGGTATGGAGAACACAAGAGATAACATCTAGAAGAGGCTGGAACGGACTGTGCGGGGGAGGAAGTGAGAAAGAGACAGAAGAGCAGTGATGTAGGAGACATTAACAGAGAAAATGTGACCTTGGGCAGTTTAAGCTTGGTGCAATTTGAAGAATTCAAGAAAAGAAGTGAGGCAATCCTGATAGCCCAACATGAACATAACAAAGAAAGAGAGGCTAGAAAGAAAGTAGAGGCTGACTTGGTAGTGGAGAGCTTTTTGACTTGCAAGGCAAAAAGCTCTCAAAAATCAAGATGAGAAAAGAATCCAGGAAATGGAGAAAGAAAAAAGAAAATTGATGGAAGTGGTCAACGAACAACAAATCATGATATCTAGATGTGTAGAAAAGATTGAGAGATGGGAAGAAAGAGAAAGAGAGATTGAGGATATCACTAAAAATGAATTGGAAAAATTGGAAGAGGAAAACAAAGATGTAGAGAATGACACCTATGTTGAACCAGTTGACTATGGTGCCAGTCAGGAGTCTATGGACTCTTTTGCTTCCAGATTGGGAGTAAAACCTGGGGAACAAAAGAAGGGATGGACAATGACATCACTGCAGAGGACAATTTGAGAAGATGTGGCAGACTGGTTGACAAGCAAGATGTGAAGATTGAGGAGCTAGCCAAACAGAGAGCAGCAGACAAGGATAACTATGGTAAGAAAAGTGATCTGGAGGAAAATAATTCCTCTCTTCTTTTCATGGACGACAAAATTGGTATAGATCTAGGATGCACTATTTATATGGTTAATAAAAACTTAGAGATGGTTGAAAAAATGGAACACAGTAGAAGAGATTTTTATTTGGCTCATCTAAAACAAACAGAGGAGAAAACAGTGCAAAATGAGACATCTCTCATTGACACTAGGGGATATATCTCTAAGAGAATTATGTTCTGAGGATGATCACTCAGATGGAGAGATGGAAATGGATTATTTTGCCCATTTAAAAAATATCTTTGCTACTGGGAAAAAGAATAATACAGGTTCCCCTGGCATCACCAGTGGGAAATCTGTGGTGTATATAGGGGGAAAAGGCAGAAAAGGAAGGAAGAAATGATAGGGATGATTTGGAATGTTAGGGGGTGGGGCCTGATATTAAAAAATCTTTTATTAGATCTAGCATTTGTGATAAGAAAATTGACTTCATTAGTCTTCAAAAACCATCAAAAATGATTTCACCAAGAATGAGTTACATAACCTAAGTGGGGGCAGGAACTTTGGCTGGCATTGGACCCGACCTAGAGGGAAAGCTGGAGGAATTTTAGTAGGAATTAATAAAGATACTTTTGAGATCCTTAATGTAGAATGAAAGTGCTAGTTATCGACTAGAGGGGGGGGGGGTGAATAGGTGATTTTTACGAAAGTCTTCAAAACGTGGAAGTTCCGAAGACAAACAATAGAAATGACCTAATTGATATGCAGCGGAAGGTAGACTACGACAAGCAAACCATAGTCATGTATGCAATAATGTGAAA